CCTATCCTGGAACATCAAGGAAAGTCCTTCTTAACATCCTGCTGAACTAGTATGACCGAATATAAGAAGAAGGCTCTTTGACCCAGCAATGTCTCTTGCAAGGACTAGGAATTCACTCTGCGAGATTAATCAGAGATATACAATGAGACCTACATCCAAGAATGTTCTGCATCCACAATTGGGAAAAACTAGGCAAACTAAATCTTCAATAATAGGAGATTAAATTATCTTATAGCCATCCCTATAACTAAATACTAAGTCATCACCAAAATTAAGTGGAAAAAAATTAATGATCTGAGAAAAGATTCACATATGTTCTTGGGGCAAAAAAAACTAGGTTATAGGGCCAGCCCCGTGGCTTAGCGGTTAAGTGCGCGCGCTCCGCTACTGACGGCCCAGGTTCGGATCCCGGGCGCGCACCGACGCACCGCTTCTCCGGCCATGCTGAGGCCGCGTCCCACATACAGTAACTAGCAGGATGTGCAACTACGACATACAACTATCTACTGGGGCTTTGGGGGTAAAAAAGAAAAAAGGAGGATTGGCAATAGATGTTAGCTCAGAGCCGGTCTTCCTCAGCAAAAAGAGGAGGATTAGCATGGATGTTAGCTCAGGGCTGATCTTCCTCACAAAAAAATTAAAATAAAATAAAGTATTGCAATAGCTCTGTGGGTCTCAAACTTCAGGTGCATTAAACTGCTTATTAAAACACTGATTGCTGGGCCCTACCCCTAGAGTTCCTGATTCCCTAGGTCTAGGTGGGCCTCGATAATCTGCATTTCTAGTAAATTCCCAGTTGATGCTGATGCTGCTGGTTGGGACTACACTTTGAGAATCAGTGCAATAGTTTAGAAGTAGCCTTCTTTTAGAAGTAACACTTGTATCAAAATAGCATCAGGAGAAAGCAAATGAGGCAATTATAGTTTCTAATTGAAACAGAGGGTAGTATAAAATCGATGTATTAGTTTCTAATTTTATTAGAAATTAATTACCTTTAATTTACTTAGTTTAGAGGAGTAGTTTTTGAACCCAGATAAGCTTTAGAATAACCTGGGAGCTTTTAATTTCTCCTGATGCAGGACCTCACCCCCAGAGAATTTATTCAGGTAGCTTGGAGCAGGGCAGAGCCATCTGTATTTTTAAAAGCTCCTTAGGGGCTGGCCTGGTGGCGCAAGTGGTTAAGTGCGTGCTCTTGCAGTGGCGGCGTGAGGTTCTCAGGTTCAGATCCCGGGCACGCACCGACGCACCGCTTGTCAGGCCATGCTATGGTGGCGTCCCATATAAAGTAGAGGAAGATGGGCATGGATGTTAGTTCAGGGCCAATCTTCCTCAGCCAAAAAAAAAAACGAGGAGGATTGGCATCAGATGTTAGCTCAGGGCTGATCTTCCTCACACACACACGCACACACACACACACACACACAAAAAGCTCCTTAGGTGGTTGATTCTCTGGGGCAACAGGGTTGAGAACCACTGCCCTATAGTAACAATTATTGCTTGCAGCCCCTTTTAATGAGCTCCTTCCCCACTTAAAGAAGAGCACTGAAACTACAGGCTGAATTAGAGGATAAAACAGAAACCTGATTGTAAAAGTGCTTCCCTTTTATCCACGTTATTGTAATTAATGACAATCCATGCCATATATTTAAAAAGGTAAGAGGTGGAGAAAAGGTGGATATTTCATTTCTTCTCTGAAGAAATAGGTTGTCTCTGAAGGTTAAAGGATATCTTGTCTGTTTCTTGAAATGTCTTCTAATTTGTTGCCTAAGAGCTACTTTTTATAATAGGTAAGTGAAATAAAAATTTAATATAAAATGCCTTGGTGTATTCATAAGTTTTTTACTTTTCTCTTTTTTGGGGGGAGGGGGCAGGTAGGAAGATTAGCCCTGAGCTAACATCTATTGCCAATCCTCCTCTTTTTGCTGAGGAAGATCAGCCCTGGGCTAGCATCCATGCCCAACCTCCTCTACTTTATATGTGGGAGGCCTGCCACAGCATGGCTTGATTGGCGGTGCATAGGTCCACACCCGGGATCTGGCCCTTGAACCCTGAGCCGCCAGAGTGGAGCATGCGAACTTAACCACTATGCCACCAGGCCAGCCCTTTACGTTTCTCTTGAAAGTAAGACTTCCTTCATGTGAACTTAAAATTCCTTCTGCTTGGAAAGCATTGTAATAAATGTTGGTCCTCAGAATATTCTTCAACTTTAAAAGTATTAGAGAAATATAGTATCTTAACTAGTCAGAACTCTTCTCAGAAATTTTTGAAATGATGTTTGAATTTAGCTTACATCACTATCCTGATGACTCGGAATAAAAGTTACCAGAGATTTTTAAAAATACATATGTTCTGAATTTATCAAAAAGGAAAGAAACCCCGAGTGCCCTATTCCTGAGCCCTCCTGATAGGAGGAGGTTGAAGGTGATCACTACAACAGGGTATCAGGAAGACACATTTTGCCGCAGGACCACCAGATGGTCCTCTCCTGATCGCCCTTAAAGGCAATTTCTTGGCATTGTTTTTAAGTATCAACAACAAATAGCCTTTGGTGCTTTGATTTTTTTCCATCACTGAAATGGGGGCACTTCCAGAAAGTAACTTGAAGTATTCTGAACTCCTCCTACTTAAAAGTTTATAAAAATATAGTGTAATTCATGTTTTTTGAGTGCCTCTACCATTGGAATTGCTGTGAACATTTTGGTGTATTTTCTTCCAGCCTCTGTCTGTTACACACGACATGTTTTCCTTTATTATTCTTTCACTTGTTCTCTATTTTCCCAGTTTTTTCATGAAACTTTTTTATAATAAAAATAAACATCTATTTTCTAAAAGTACACATTCTTGTCTTAATAATGGCTAAAAGTAAGCATTTTGTAGGGAGATGTAAACTATGAAGTAGTTTACAACGATCCTCCTCCTAGATCCTATCTTTCACTTTAGCATATCAGGACCAGGTGAAACCAAATGAAAAGATACGGGGCTACAACTACTAACGGAAGAACAATCAGTTAAGTGTATGCATTTTCTTATTTTATGAATATTTATTTTCAAATTACTTAGTAACTAATTCATATTTGTTCACAGCTTTTGAAAATGATTTCTGAAACAAGCTTGTAGATGGGCAATCTCATGCACTCAAGTAATAAAAGTACTAACCCAAGGTGCAGTCATGGGTTCCTCCAGGAAATCCCAGTTGTACTAGCTACTCAAGAGCCTCCTCCTCCTAACAGAAAGAGAAAGGGTGCCATTTTTCTCTGGTGATTTTGAGGGATTTTGTTTTGAAGGACACTTGTTCATGAAACTTTCTCGATCTTTGCTTGAAAATCTCCTTGTATACCGGGTAAGTAAACTTGATTTTTTAAAAAATGACTACTATATCATTTTTTTGAAAGGATGTTCTTTTCTGAACGTTTGCACAGGATTCTTCAAAATGCAGCTTCCCTTCATTATTATCTCTTTCTCAGCTTAATCTGTAGAGTAATGCCTGTTATTCTCAGAAAATGTTTGGTAATTTCCTAAACCATTTTAAATTAAGATACTTTAATTGACCAGAGCTCTCCTCACCTTTTAAAATGACTTTATTAGGGCCGGAGCCGTGGCATAGCAGTTAAGTGCTTGCGCTCAGCTGGGTTCGGATCCCGGGCGCGCACCCACGCACCGCTTGTCAGGCCATGCCGTGGCGGTGTCCCATATAAAGTAGAGGAAGATGGGCACAGATGTTAGCTCAGGGCCAATCTTCCTCAGCAAAAAATAGGAGGATTGGCATCAGATGTTAGCTCAGGGCTGATCTTCCTCACAAAAAGAAAAAAAAAAATTTTTAATTTAAAAAAATGAAATGACTTCATTAGAACGCCATACCAAATAATGATTATGAAATACACAGTAATTTAAGAGAAATAGCCAACGCTTGTTGAGCACTCATGATATGCTGGGTAAAACAACCCTCAGGAGGTGAGCACTATTGTTATCATCCCTCCTCTACTGATGCAGAGATGTGAGCAGATAACTAAGCAACTTGCCTAAGGTCATGTAGCTAGAAAGGGGCAGAGGGGGACCTGAACCCAGGTCATGCAGCCCCAGGGCCCATGCTCTTCATCACTGTCCTCTAGCACAGATCTGCTGAATGCCAAAGTTCTTTCACTACAAACTCGGTTTTACACCTGAATTATAAAATCTTCCATATTTTCCTTAATTTAGACCAGAGGAATCGGTGCGTCCGCCAGATAGGAAAGCTAGCTCTGCTTTTTATTCAGATGTTTGGTGTCAAAGAATGATCTTATAAAATGGTGCCTGCCCTGTGGAAGGCATTTGGAGTATCCAAACTTGGTATTTGGTGAGATGTGTTCCAAGGGGCCTGAGTTCTGCAGGATTTTAAAAAGTCTTTGGTGGGAAGAGGTTCAATGGCCAGTTGATGTGGGGGGAACACCGGGTTTAACAAGTGAAGGTTTTCAATGCAAAATTTCCCAGAGCCTTTAGAGGACCGTGCACTATGAAACTCCAAGAGAGTGTGTAGCATTTCCCAAACTCATTTGAGAGAGAAACTTTCTATTTGTGAAGCATCTCTCTGGGGACGAGTGTTCTGTGGAACACCACTGAGGAAATATCTGAAGTGCTGGCAATAGCTACATTAGTAACTGAGAGCTTCCTCATCTACTGCAAAAGATGGACCGGGTCTGGAAGTTAAGTGCTGCTTCTGGTTTGTGCATGTCTTTCTGCCCTCCCATGTCCAACTTCTCAACCTTTATAATTTCTTCCAGCCAACACTTGTACATAGAACTTAAATGAGTGACATTTTTCTCATCTAATTGTACAACTTCAACTCTGCTAGCCAAAAACCAGTTTATGTTCTTTCCTGTAGTAGCTTTTCTTAATTTGTTTCAGAATCATGGTTAAAGAACTATTTGAGGGGCCGGCCCCGTGGCTTAGTGGTTAAGTGCGCGCGCTCCGCTACTGGCGGCCTGGGTTCGGATCCCGGGCGCACACCGACGCACCGCTTCTCCGGCCATGCTGAGGCGGAGCACGCGTCCCACATACAGCAACTAGAAGGATGTGCAACTGTGACATACAACTATCTACTGGGGCTTTGGGGAGGAAAAGGAGGAGGATTGGCAATAGATGTTAGCCCAGGGCCAGTCTTCCTCAGCAAAAAGAGGAGGATTGGCATGGATGTTAGCTCAGGGCTGATCTTCCTCACAAAAAAAAACCAAAAAACTATTTGAGTAGCTACTATGTGACAGTCACTACAGCTGCAAAAAACAATAGACAAGATTTCTGTTCTCTTGGAGTAGAGCCAGACGATCTGAAGTAAGAAGAGGGTAGACAGCTACTCTTCACGGGTGGGAGAAATTTAGTAGAAAATAGCCAGCATGGCCCCTTGCCTTACAGAAGACACTAGACAGTGCCACAGTGTTCTGTACCTGACTCTCTTCTCATCGCTCTCTGCACATTCCTTCAAGACCATCTTGCTATTCCATAGTCTCAATTACTTTCTGCATGCTGGCAACCCTGATATCTCTCTCAGGTTGGAGATGCTTTCTTACTAGACCTATCCACCTAGATCTTGCACAAGCACTTAATTCCTGACATGTTTACAACTGAGTTCATCCACCTTACCCTAGAACCAGTTCTTTCCTGTGTATCCAGTATCATCATTAGAAAATGTAGCTACTATAAGCCCAGTCACCCAAGCCAGCTAACCCCAATTCCCACACCCCCTGCCCACTAATCTTCCCCACATACCACTGGTCATCAAGGCCTGTTCATTTGTCTTCATCAAGACTTTTCTCAGTCTCTACTAATACTGCCTTAGTTGGGGCCCTTACATCTCCTTTCTGGATTCCCTAATAGCCGCCTCAAATCCATCATTCTCATGATCAAATGTGTTAATTCTTAAATGTTAAGTGTAAATGTTACTTTTTATTATATGTGGGGTCCTCAAGACCATCTTCAGTTTGATAATTCACTAGAAGGACTCACAGAATTCAGAGAAGCTGTTATACTCACGGCTACAGTTTATTACAGTGAAAGGTTACAGATTAAAATCGGCAAAGGAAAAGGCACATAAGGCAGAGTCCAGTATATACCAGGAACAGGCTTCCAACTGTCCTCTCCCAGTGGAGTCGCACAGACAGCACTTAATTCTCCCAGCACTTCCACAACATGTGTGAAGTCTTCCCTACCAGGGGGGCTCACTCAGGCCTTGGTGTCCAGCGTTCTTATTGGGGGTCCATCATGTAGGCATGTGGGCACATTGTGGCCCAAAGCCCCTAAGCATGCAAAATAGACATTCGCCATAAGTCACATTATTAGCATAACTATATGGTGTGGCCCAAAGCCCAGGTATACAAAAATACTCTTATCAGGCAGCATATTCCAAGGGCTCAAAAGTTATCTACGAAGAGTGGTCAAGGACCAGTCCTGAAGACCTCTGGAGTGTGTAGGGTTTGGACAGCCCAGGGCTGCTGAGTTTACAATTTACTGTACATTTCTTTGACTTAAAACTCTTGAAGATTTTTTCTGTTACTCTCAAGGTCAAACCCCAAATCATAAACTTGTTATAACGTTCTATATAATCTGGGCCTTGCCTACCTCTTCAACTTCTTCCTTTCTGGCCTCTCCCGTCTTCAGAGAAACCAGCTCCCACTGTGGCCGTGCTAAATTACTTGTCATTACCCATATATGATCCTGCACCACTCCATGCTGCCCTGCTCCTCTCTACTAGTCTGTCTAGCTGGAATATGCCTCCCACTTTGGCCTGGCATATACCAGTCCTGTCTTAGGACTAAGCCCATATGTTACTAGGAGGCCATTCCTGTTTATTCCCTGGCATCTCTCTATCCATTCTCTCACATTGTCACCAGTGTCCACGTCTACAGTCATACCAATAAAACTTGATTGCACAGATTTAATTATATAACTGTTGTCCTCTACCAGATTAAGCTGTTTGAAGGCAGGGCCTAATATACCTGATATGTATCTCAGTATCCAGGTGTTTGAAAACTTTGAAGCTCTGTCCTGATTCCTCATCTGATGTGCCTTCCAAAACTCTAGACTGCATTATGAAGTTGTCCTAGACTTTATAAAATGCTGTGAAAAGCATCCTAGTGTGTAAAGGGCATCTGCAAACTTCTTGGATATGCATGATTCTGCAGAACTTGATGAAATAAGTTTCTCATTAGGTTGTAAGCTTATCAAATGGTCTGTTTAGGACATTTCTCTGTACTGAGACTTCAATGGGGAAAAAACAGTGAATGACAAATTTTAAAGGATAACTGTAGAGTCTAGAAGTCTTGGAGGGGAGAGGGCACACGAGTGTTCTGATCATCTCCATGGGGAAACTGAAATAAACGAGAACATTCGGTAGCCCACACTACAAAAGGGGTATCTACTAGACACAGCCTTGAATTTCCATTTCTACATCTTTCCACTGAACTACAGGGCTTGAAGAACTGTAACTTGGGGGTCAGAAATCAAATCTCAAAAGTTCCAAGCTTGATATTTAAAAGACTAGCCCTCTGAGTTGCTTACATTTCTGAAGTTGCATGTACTTTGGCTTTAGAATAAGTTCACCTAAAAGTCATCCGATGAGGCCTCAAACTCCTTCCTTGGAAACCTGTTCCTTAATGAAGAATCTGACTTGTTCAGAAAAATGGTAGTTGAGGAGAGATTTCACTTCTCTACTCAGATGATTGAGAATTCTGGCTCTATTGCCTGAAACAACTTAATAGACATTAGCTGTTATGCCAGGCACTCCACTAAGCCTGCTAATTTAATCCTCCCAACTGCCAAATGAGGTGGGTATTGCTACTGATGAAGAAACTGAGGTTAGAGAGATAACTTGCCCAAGGCAGTGGGGTTGCTCTGTTCTGTCAAATTTCCGTGGCCTGGTACGTACGTAAGACCCCAAGGAGCCTTTACCTTGTTCCAAAGTCACCAATTACCTATGCTGTCTCAGGAGCCTACTAGATTAACAGCTGATATCTTCTAACACTGACACCTTAAGACATGCTTGTTTTTCAAGCAAGTTCAGAGTGGCAAATCATATAGACATTTCACCCAAGTGAAGTAATTACAGATCACTATCTAGATATCCAATGATTGTGGCTCAAACTATTGATTCTTAAGTTCAGATGGATTTTACTTTCTATTGATCATATGTTTACTTTTGTGAAGTATAAAATGACTTGCCATAGAGTGAAAATGTTCCAGAAAGACATATAAAGCTTACTCTTGCTTTAAGCACTCCCTAGCGTGCCTCAGGAGAATAGGGTATATCCTAGTTTCAAAAGTTCACTGGGATTTGTTCAATAAATTCATGACAGATTGCTTCCTGAAGTTGTCTAAAGCCATACAGAATTGAAGTGAGGCATTCTCTTCTCTTGAGGATCTTTCATGAAAGATATTCTAGATTGTCCTAGAACATTATCTTTGTACTATCCCCAGAAAACTAGATAGGGTAGAATGCTAGTCTGACCAGTCATGCTCATTATGAGTACAAATGAACTTTATATTAAAAACAATGTCCTTCCAAAATGAGAAGATCTTTAGTCAGCCTTTGAATGGTATTTGTAACTCTTTCTCTCTTCTTCCTGCCACCAGCAAGAATCCACCATGCCTGGGATCCCACATGCTCCTAATTTAAACACCATGTTACAAGAGATTCAGCATGCAGGGAACTTCTTGATGCAGCACCATGAATTCATCGTTCTCTTTACATTAGGATATTCGCTGTACACTATTGGAATGGCTTTGTCAACTGAAGACTGGATAACTTTCATCCTTGGACTTGTTCTTCTTTGGGTACTGATACTCAACATATGAATATTATAGTGCAACAATGGGGAAGATGAGTCAAAGGCAAGCAAAGCATTATGGTGTCCACATACAGAATGTACCTCCAACCTAATCTAGGCTGCAAGAGCCAGAATGAGCCTCTTATCCATTTTTGTGTGCAGAGTCAGGCCTCAAATGTATCATATTTCCTCTTCTTACACCCAAAATAAATTTTAGTTTTTAAGATATAGCAACAAAGATTTTGCTTCTATTCAGTTCATTTCCATTTTTGAAAAGCTTTTCTTATATTGTACGTAGGCAGAGGGAAAATTCTTCATCTTAATAATCGAAGTTCTCTCTAAATATTAGTAAATGATACAATAAGATAACCAACAGAAGGCGTGGGTTTAGAGAAGAAATTCTTCAGAGCCAGTTTGCTAAACCTTTCCTGAGTCCTTGAGTCAGTGCTCTCTAGAATAAAGAAGGGCAAAATTCCTATTTCCGTTTAACTTTTAGCCAACTCATCAGTTAAAAGTCAAGGAAGACCCAGCTTTTATAACCTTTGCTACTTAGAAAGAGCACAAATTACGTGGGCCCCAGAAAACATGAATAAAATCAGTACAACAATCCCTGTTTATTAAACAGAAACTACTTGGGCAAGACGAGTAGGTCTTTTGTCTATTCTCAGGATTCTAATATTGCCCGATGTCACAGGTGTGTGCTGAAACCAAAGGTCTTGGTCTCTTTCTCCCACAGGATATTTTCCCCTCTCTCACAGACTGCCCCTGAGGAAGAGGAAAGCAACAGAGCCCGGACACTTAGCACCAGATAGACATCTTTCCATTACTCTTCATCAGTGTTTCTCAGCTGGGGATCTTGCTTCTCAGGCATGTCTGATAATATCTGGAGTCATTTTTGGTTGTCACACCTGGCGGGCAGAGGACTGGGGAGGGAGGTATCTGCTGGCATCTAATGGTGAGTAGAGCCTAGAGACACTGCTAAATGTCTTACTGTACAAAGGACAGCCCTCCCACAACAAAGAATTATCTAGGACTGTATTTGTCTGCATGGATTGCCATAACAAAATACCATAGACAGAGTGGCTTAAACAACAGAAATTTATTTTCTCAGAGTTCTGGAGGCTAGAAATCTCATATTGAGGTGCTGGCAGATTTGGTTTCCGGTGAAGATTCTCTTCCTAGCTTCCAGGTGGCCACCTTCTCGCCATGGCCTCTTCTCTGTGTGTGTGGAGGGAGAACCTT